ACTGTGCATATAAAGCAGTGCCGGGATCCTTTATATTTTAAAGTTTAAAATATGCATGTCTTGGCAAACGGAAATACATAATCTAATAATAATAAAGACAAATGTCATTTTTTCACCACATAGAATCTTTGCATTATTCTCTACAGAGTGAGTATCCCCTTTAAAAAGGAGCTTTTTCAGAACCTCACAGTTTTGACAGTGCGTCTGTGGAGGTGTAGTTACTGAGTGGAAACAATGGGAAGCAGATTTATTGAAAGCAAAAATATATCAGCAGGCTTGGGTATGCATCTAAAAAGACTTTTTAAAAAATGAGTCACAGGACTCATTTGGTTTTCTTCACTGTGGACCAATATGAAGGTTGTTTCATGGCAAACTCTGAGAAACTCTGACAAAAGTACCTCATAACTCTGTATTTCCCGTCACTTCTTGTAAGCGTTTTAGTGTCTTTTAGCTCCTTGTTTTGATTTTATGACCCACAGCTTTACTGTCTGCTTCTTTCCCACCATGAACGCCAGCCTTACTGTTTCCCTTTTAATACTATGATAAAAAATGACCGTAAACTACCTACAAAACACCAAGCACACAATGTCTATTGACTATCTGGTGAGCATAATGGAACGACCTTCAGCTAAAGGCTGAGATGTTTCCCTCAGGAGGATGAATATTGGACTTACATTCATTATGTGGCAAGAATATAAACTCCAATTGATTGCTAATGTTGATGTTTGTCTGCTGGTTGTTATTTTTGGTTGTAAATGGGACCAGCTATTACAGACATGTGAGCACTGTTCAATCTGACAGGTTCATTGTAGAATCGGTTCAGTTGCTTTGTGTTCTGCTGATGATTTTCTCTCAATGTAACCATAAAATGTATTTAAAATGCAGTTTAACATGTTTGAGATACCTAAACCCTCATACAAATTACAAACCACAGAAGAAACAAATTTCATTTTCCTTTCACAAATCAGTTTCTTTTTAACTGTTGACTTCTAAAGCAACAATAAATCACTAAAATCAATCACACACCCCATTAAGCCACTTTGCTCTTGACTCTTGAGGACACATTTTATTTATCTTAGGTAGGAAATCAGTGTACTTACCAAACCTATAAAACACAGACAGAACAACACCAATGGAGTTCTTTATGAGGAAACCCACTAACTACGTTTTATAAAAAAAAAAGAAGATTAGCATGGTGCCATTGCAGGTCCTCACAGAGGTTTGCTCCTTTGTCCATTCTTGTCTTTCGACTAAACATATTATGTAAATGATATGCATATCATATCCCACAAAAGCTGAATACTCTACCGCTTGTGTCCCAACCCTAGATAATGGGTGATACATAATGTTCCATTTATTATTTACATAAAACTTTCCTTTTCTATGTAACAAATTCAAATATTTCTTCATAATTCATATAAAGAAACTTGCTTTGGCTTCCCCATCCCACTTAAATACAGTTTGGAGGAAGGTAAAAGATTCCTGGTAATTACACACAGTCCAGTCAATGATCATGTCAGCTGGACATCAACAGATTAAATATGGCTTGTTCGTTAATTTCTTGCATCACTTCACACAGCTATTGGTGAGGTTCACAGCTATGCTTCTCAGTTTATTGCACTACTTATTCATAAACCTGATATTTTAGATCAGCTTTTTATATATTTGTTCGCTCAATTTCTTAAGATTTGGTAGAAATATGAAGAAAAAGTTCTGTAAACCCACTCCCAGCCTTTTTCAAAAGTAATAAAAAGGGTGTCTTTGCTACAAGAGCAGTTTAGTCAGATATTGCCTGTACTCCTGCTATGGTGGCATTAATGCAAAAAAGACTTCCTTTTTTTGCTTGGCACCAGTACGTCCATCTGGTGATATATTTGACTGCTGTCTTTCATCAACCACTCTGCACCTTCTTGCGTATCCTCTGTATTGAAACAATTATACAGGCTGGGAAACTGCTTTCTTGTTGTGTTTTTTCGGACATAAATCTCTCGTGACTGCAAACAGCAGATGGGCTCGTAACCCTTTACAAATGGCTTTTGGCTGTGCACACTCAGCCACGGCACAAAAGCAGCAGGAAAACAGGACTTTGGTGTGTGGAGAATTCAGTTTCACCTCAGTCTTGCCCACAGGGTCTTTGGGGAGTATTAGATTATGACACTGCCAGAACCAACATCAAACCTATTGTGCAGAAAGGTCACCAACACGCTGAAATGAACATGGCCTCAGTCCATCAGAGGGACTGAACACTTTTTATGACACCCACCCGTTGCCATGTTCAGGGATTTCAAGCTGCTGAACGATATGTGGATTTGCAGAAGTTTGATTGAACACGTTGGGGCTAAATTCTCTGGGTAAATAATGATAATGAGCAGTTTTGGAGTCACCAATTTGTTCTGGATCGTGCAACTGTTCCACCTAATTAGGAGTCTGTTTACACGAATGCTGTACAACACAGTCAAACAAAACCCTGGATCTCGCCGGCTTTGCATAAATGGGGATTTTCTTTGTCGGATGGAAATTAAACTTCTCGGATGGATCAACTTTTGCTGAATTTGAATCTGATCAAAGGATGCATTTATAGATAGAAAGACTATCATGATTTACTATTGTGATGTTGTCAGTAAGTTTAATCCAAAAGTGGTCATCTGATTAGAATATAAATATTTATATATATTAAAAAAAACGCAATAACATTTATCATTTCGTGATAGCTTCTTAACTGTTTCTCCCCATGTTTTTGACCATTAATGAGACTCCGTGTTGCAAAATCACAACACCAGGTGACTTCGTCATCTTTTATTTTTGCACAACATCAGACAGCTTAAGCAGAGGAAAATATGCACTTTGCAAGATGTCACTCCAAAATCAGCAGCAAATAAACAGAGGTAGTTTCTTGGAAAATAAATGCAGAATGAATGCATTGAATCTGAAATGCTCAGTCATTTAGGGCTGCTGTGAAAATAATTACCCTTTTGCATGGAACCATTTTTTAATGTCAAATCCAGTCATCTGTAATCTGCCGTGATTTATCCTGCTGTTGTCCTTTAATATATCTCAGTTGTGACTTGTGAATTATCATGATGACAACCAAACCCAGGATAGCGCAAAATCACAACAACAGTTGGCTCACAGCGCTTTGTATTGTGAGGTAAAGACCCTACAGTGACACAAAAAGAGTTCAGTTTAGAGTCTGTTTTCAGCAGCGATGTTCAAAAACTGTCAAAGAAAACACGGCTAACAGCATCAAGGAAGCTGAACAAACAAACAAACCAAATAGTTGAATTTAAGCTAATGGCGTCCAACCTGCTTGCCTTTCTCAAAAAGGTCAAAGATTCAAACATGTTTGTACATAAATATCACTTCAGACTTTTCCACGGTAGCCCTCATTGCCTTAAAACAGTAAATATGTCCTTTAAAAAGGCAGATAAGAAAGGAGAATCGTTTTGGTTTCACTTCAAAACAAACATATAAGCAGAAGGGCGATGTTTGCAGGGCGATGAAACAAGGTTGGAAACCACAGGTGCATGAGTGTATGAGGATTCTTAACCTGGGCCAGGTGGGCAGCCTCCAAAAGGCTTCATCATTTCAGGGAGCCAGAAAGTTTCAGGCACAGTGGGGATGAACTGTTTTGTGCTACTGTTTTTTTTTCTTTTTCTTTTTCTTTACAGATTAAGTGCAGCACTGACCACACAGGCATTAACACTAACAGTTTTGTTTTTCTTTTCTTTTGTTTTTTAAATAACATTTTAAAGAATAGTTTGACATTTTGAGAAATATTCTTTGACTTGTTGCTGGCTTGGATGAGAAGATCAGTATCACTTTAATTTCTCTGCAGTAGTTACATTGTATCAGCTTACAGATGGTTTAGCTTAGCTTAGTTAAGCTTAGCTACACTTGCTATATCTAAATCAAACACATATATCTTTTTGATGATGGGGGGCAGTTTTATGGCAATACTAACTTTCTCTAGTTTCCACTTGTTATGTGCATTGAAGACCAGCAAATAGAAAGCCTTCTTTTTACTAACTAACAAAACGTATATAATGTGCTAATTTCAGTGATAATTTGTTAAATTTCTGTGTCAAGGTAGTGCTTATGAACAAACATGCTACATATTTACAGACATCTTTTCTTCTTATCTTCTGTTATGTTGTCCATTAAAAAGAGCATTAACTTTTCTCTTTCCTCACTGCTAACCAGTTTCTGAAGATATCTGCCTGACCCTGGTTCTGCCCGAGGTTTCTTCCTGTGAAAAGGGAGTTTTTCCTTTCCACTGTCATCAAATTTTCATTGTTGGGGTTTTCTTTCTAATATTCTGGGATCCTTACTCTACAGTATAAAGCTCCTTGAGGTGACTGTTGAGATTTGGTGCTATATAAATAAATTTGAATTGAACCAACTGTTGGAAAGTCCATTGAGCATATTTCTCAAAATGCCACACTAAGACTCTGTCTTGTCAACGATCTGGTTTTATGACATTTTGTGCTTGTAGGCTGCATATTTTTATGTTTTCAATAATGTGTAAAATAATATTAATAGGTTAAATCTAATTACCCAAGACAAAATCTGTGATGAAGAATGATCTTAGTGTTCAAAAAATAGAAAAGTTTAATGGAATGGAAAAACTGAGCTGAACTGGGGGTTTGTCCTGGCACATAAATCACCTGTGTGTGCATCTTTTGTGGATGTACAGGGGGCTTTATCAATATCGGTCCTTTAATACAGAATTACAGCACAGTTCATAGAGAATAAGAGAAATGTGGTGCACATTAATCAAACTGGGAAAGCCTGTGAGAAGTCTGTAATGAAAACATCTATGCTGAAGCTTGAGGGGACTCCTTGAAGGGTGCACGCTGTCATGACTGGAAAAGCAGGACAATGAGACATAAGTGAGGCATAACAAACACAACAGATTTCCTTTTTTTTCCTGTGTTTTTTATAAATCCAATTTGATATTTCATGTAAGATTGTCACAGTGATGCAGCAGCTCTGCTTCACAGCTAAAAGGACTTTTTCCAGGACTTGCAGAGAATCTTGTGGAAGGCATGTCTGAAGTCCCGGTTGAAGATGGTGTAAATGGCAGGGTTGAGGGAGCTGTTGCAATAGCCAATCCAGAAGAAGAATTTAAAGAGGGGGTCGGGAATCCTACAGGGTTCCCTGCACACACCATACAGGCTGTAGCTAAAGAAAAAGGGAAACCAGCAAACAACAAACACTCCCATGACAACAGCCAGGACAAATGTGAATCTCTTCTCCCTGGCTTGGGAGATCTTCTTCCTGGCTAGGGAGCTCTTACGGCGTTTCCTCCTGGAGGTGAACAGATCCATGGACTTGTTACTGACCCTGGAGATGCGAGTGGATTGCTTGGAGAGCGAGTTTTTCTTGTTGCTGATCCTCTTTGCTCTCTGGGACTCCTGCAGCTGGGGCTTGTGACCTTTGCCCTCTGACGAGGAGCTCTCCTCCATGTCAGGCTCCTCAGTCTGTTGCCCGACGGTGACGGTGCGTTGGCTGGGCGTAGGCGGGCACTGACAGTGACCGTTCTCCCTCTCGCCGTGGAAAGGGGAGGTGGCTTTGCTCAGTCCATTCTCAGTTTGTGTAACGCCATCTGGCCTGGGTTTTTTTTCTGACATGCTTCTGGTTCTGGTTTTGGCCACCTGGTATATTCTGATATAGACCAGGATCATGATTAAGCAGGGAGCGAAGAAGGACGCGATGCTGGAGGAGAGGATGTACCAAGTGTCATCATTCAGCTCGCACTGAGGCTGAGAGCTGATCTCACTGTTGCTGTCGATAGATATGAGCGGCGGAGAGGAGATAAACGCAGATATAAGCCACACGATCAGGATAATGCACTTGACGCGTTTAGGAGTCCGCTTCAGGTTGTACTCTACAGCCTGCGTAACGGACCAGTATCGGTCCAGGCTTATTGCGCACAGATGCACAATAGATGAAGTACAAAACAAAACATCCAGAGCCAGATAAATACCGCACCAAACTTTTCCAAAATACCAGTAACCCATGAGTTCATTTGCCAAAGAAAACGGCATCACGAGAGTGGCGACCAGGATGTCCGCTGTGGCCAGAGACACCAGGAAAAGGTTTTGGGGGGCTTTCAGTGCCCGGCTCGTTAACACAGCGATAACCACAAGAATATTTCCAACAACGGTAAAAAGAATGAGAAAACTTACGAGAGCGGCGATGCCAGCTATCGCTGCTAAAGAATATCCACTGTCCAGCGTCCAGGAGGAATTTAAATGGATCACCGTGAACGCATCCATTCCGCTGGCGTTGAACGAATCCATTGTTACATATATTTGCGTGTGTGTGTATATCCTGGTTGGATTTTGTCAGTTCTTTTCAGATCTCTAATGCTCCTGTCATTAGAGTCCATCAGAAACGCGCTCCTCCGTGGTTAATTTACACATCTGACGACATGGATACGGGCGCACGCAAAAAATAAAATAAAATCCCAGTTAACGAAGTCTCTGGAGGCTCTTACAGCCTGTTGATCGGGTGTGTCTCAAGACAACTTGCTTGAATTGGAAAGACACCCCTGGTATAGTTTTGTCACGGCTCCTGTTCGTCAGGAGTTGAATGACATCCAGCCGCAGCTCCCCTTCCTTCAGCATGGTGCGCTCTCGCTCTTAATGATGCCCCAAGTGTTGTTCTCATAAAACTCACCCACTGCCGCCCCGCCCCCAGCACACATTATTTTCATATTGTGGGAATGTGATAAGGCTGTGTCCACATGATCTCAAACCGATGCAAAAATATTAATGTGAATAGTATTAATAACATCTGAAAATGTATAAGTCGATAAGAGAGCGAGAGAGAACTCTGTATATTGACGTGCTGGTTGAGTTTTAAGTGTCTATAAAACCTGAAAAACTTCCTCTTCTCTTTAATAAACCTCAACTCACTGGAGGTCAGTATTGCTGCACTCATCACCATCAACTATTTCCCCGCTGCAGAGTCCTAAAGGTTGTTTATGGCCGTTAAGGGAAGAGACAGTCAGCCAGGCCGTTTGAGATGAAATGAAAAAAAGAAAAAGAAAGTGTGATCAAGAGTCGGACAGCAGGATTTAATTTGTGGAGCGCCGTGTGTGTGTGTGTGTGTGTGTGTGTGTGTGTGTGTGTGTGTGTGTGTGTGTGTGTGGCTGTGTGTGTGTGTGTGTGTGTGTGTGGCAGCAGTTTTGAGGAGATCACGGAGGCGGAGTG